TCATGTTCACCGGACTCTATGGCTCCCCTTTACTCTCCCAAATTGATTACCGACCACGGGCACCCTCGAAATCCATCATTAAATCAACTGAAGGGAACGGGGCTGCGAAGGCCATGTTCCAGTAGTGATTCCATGCTTCCCAGGTACAATCAGCCTCCCGCCTACGGGGGCCATCCGTCTCATTTAAAAGATCAGCTGCTGATAAACCCCGCTCCTTTCCACAAAGTGACTCATGGCAGGGTCCCACTTGCTACCCCTCCATCCTAGGCTGCTCGGTCCCCATTGCATCTGGGAGGGGAACCGGACTGAGACAGACCCAGTGTTTTCTTTTGGGTCTGATCCTCCCACTCACTCACAGCTCCCTGTTGGCTCGAGTGAGCACGGAGGAGGGTTTGATCAGCACAGCGCGAGCACTGGGATGAAATGTCTGGAGCCCAGCAGCTGACGACTGTCACCTCCAATCCTTCGGCAAGCTGAACGTTTGAAAAAGCGTGAAAAAGCAACTCCCATTAAAATCACTACGCTCCAGGCGGCCCAAGAGGGGAGGTGGCTGCTGCTGCCACAAACCGAAATACAGGTCTGTCGCCTCTCACTTCCTTTCTGCCTCCATGGCTCTCCCATGGCCTGCGCAACACCCGGGCAGGTGGCGAGCTGAGACTCCCGCAGGTCCAAACACACACACTTGGCAGACCCCTCACCTCTGCCTCCAAGCCCCATGCAGTTTGCCTCATCCACCTTTTGGGGGAGGAAATATCTCTTTACTGCGTGTCCGTACAGCCCCTGGCACAATGAGGCCCTGGGATCCATGCTCTGGTTTATCAGAGCCGCTAAAGGTTAGGAGGTGTTTGGACAGAGTTCCAATTTTACTTAGGGAGGCAGTGTTGCTGAATGCTTTAAACACTGGACGGGGAGCAAGGAGCTTCCAACTTCTAATCCCAGCTCTGCCACGGACTTCTTCTGCAGCCTAAGGAGAAGCACTTAACCTCTCGGTGTTTCAGTTTTCCCACCTGCAGAATGACACCACAGAGGTAGGGAGGCAGGGATGTGAAGAAATGACTGCTCATAGAGTGCTCTGTATTACAGTGTATCAGAATGAACTGGGGGGTGGGGAAGAAAGAGATCACTGCCCTCTACTGGATGGACCCAGAACAGCTCAGCTGTGTGTCATAGGCCTTAGACAGCTAGTGGAGATTCTCCTTTCCCTGAACAGATATGCGCTTTATTACTGGGAGAATATAATTCTATCCTAGGATTCCCATCCAGTGGCTATTGAGGGCAGAGTCATTACAGTAGGAGACAGTGCCAGCCTGCCAACAGCAGCATTATGCTAACTTAGCTCGACCGATCAATGATCTTGCTTCTCTGATGTCTGTGGATTAATAGCTCTGCTGATGGATGCGCCATGGCAGTTTCCCATCACTTTCAATTTGGAGCAATTAACATCATTGAAGAACAGGGTGTGAAAGCTTTTGACTGTGCCTCCGGTTTTTATGTGGCGATATTTATAACCCACGCTGGTCTTGGGAACGTTCTGTTCTGCAACACAGAGCTGCCCTGCCTGCCAGCTGGGATGCAGCCGCTGGCCGTAACCCAAGAGCAGGGTTTCCCATCCAGCAGGAGGATGGTCTATTACACAGCCAAGTCTCAAGCCAGGAACTTTGAGATGCATCCACAAGAGTTCAAACAGGAGAGCTGTAAACAGTCACCCACCCACATGGCTAAGCCAGAGAAAGCTACAGGTCTCCGCTGCCTAAAGGATTATAACTAGCAATGCTGAAGCCATCAAGCCAGGTTCCAAGAGGTCCACAGGGTCTTCAAAAGCCTAACTAACTGTCACATAAACCTAGTGCTCCAGAGAAATGAAGCAACCAATAAGCGGTTCTAGTTGTCCCACCAAACGCACGTATGAAGAGCCATTGTACGAGCAGTTACCCAGCTGGAGACAGCACGTGTAGTAGTTAGAGCAGGGGATTGTGAATCGGGACCTCTGCCCTGTGTGGTTTGGAGGAAGTCATTTCACCACTGTGCCTTAGTTTTCCCATCTGTAGAATGGTGGTAATGTTACATACTTGAGCTGACCAAAATTATTTCTTGCAAATGCAGTTGCTGTCTAATTCAGCCCTTTCTCTGCTCACAAACTGCACATGAACCCGGCATGATTTGTACCGAGTCTGCCTGCTGTTCAGAATTGTTCATGGTGAGCGCTCAATATTCATCCGAGGATCTCAAAGAGCTTGGCAGGGCTGAGCAACGAGACGATCCCCGCTCTACAGAGGGGGTAACTGAGGCACGGAGCAGTGAAGTGACTGCCCAAGGCCACACAGCAAATCAGGAGGAAAGACAGGAAAAGAACCCAGGAGTCCTGATTCTCAGCACTCAGCGCTGGGCAATACTAGCTAAGGACTGGGAGAAGAAGTAGTGCCCCGGCATGCCTGCTAGTTACCAGAACAGACTGAGCCAAGGAAAGGGGTCTTGATCCTGGCAGCTGGGCTTGCTATGCCAGTGTCTGTCCTGCTCGCTCCTGCAGCTGTGACCCTGCCAGCTTCCCGTAGCTACAAGATGCAGGGAGGCAGCCCCTCCAGGCGCGAGCCATAGCAGCTGGGCTAAGCTTGCTCCAGCTGACATTGCTCTCTCTGGATATAAAGCTGCTGCTAAGAATCTCCTTTGTACAACTCCCTTCCATGGTTCAGCCTTTGTCCAGAGGCACGGAGCTCTAAACAATCCCCCAGCGGGTCTCGGGTGCCAGAGCTCATTACACGGAGCACGAAAACCCAGCCTGGGATTTGTCTAGGACTGTCACAGCTTAACACAAAGGGAAAGACCCTCCTCTGGCCACAGAGACCAGCCATCAGCAGAGCCTTTCAGCTGGGATTTCACAGGCAAAGGACTCTGCTAAGCTTGGAGAGCAGGGTCCAAAGAAAGAGGACCAAGGTCAAGCCGCACCCTGCAGCACTGTCCCCTGCAACTTATTCCAGATCCAGAGTGGATGGTATTATCCCCCTTGTACAGAAACTGGGGAAACTGAGGCACAGAGAATTGCCTCAGCCAGGGGAATCCTTAGCAGAGCTGGGAATAGAAGCCAGGTCTCTGATGTCCTAGCCCAGCATCTTATCCACTGGACCATGCTGGATACAGTGAAGTGAGATCAGCAGCATGTGAATCAGCCAGGGAGACTAACTGGTCTCACTTCACTGTATTCAGCATGCTTTTAGCTAAATTTGACTTCTGAACCCACACATGGTCACGGATTTCTTGGGTGGCCAACTTCAGACACCTTGAGCCTGATTTCCAGAGGCACTGGGTACCCATCAACAGCCTTGCCAACTCTTGTGACTGCATCATGAAACTTGTTAGATTTGTTTTTCCTTCCCCCAAAAAGCCCCAAGTCCCGGAGTCTCGTTATTTCATGAAACTCATTCTTTTTATTTTATTTTTTTTTAATATGTTTCTGGCTCGTAGGGTTTCAGAAAAAGCAACTTGAAGAGGTGCCCGGAATGTGCCCTAAAAGTTCAAAGAGGAAAGGAGACAGAACGTTTTTTCCTTCCGTCTCATGATTTCTGTGGACCTGACTACCGATTTTTGAATGCTTAGGCTGGCAATATTGCAGCAACTCCGAGTGAAGGCAACGGCAGCTGCGGGTGCCCTACACCTCTGATTATCGGGCCCTAGCTGGCTTAGGAGAAGCTCCTAAGAACTGACGCATCCCAAAAGAGTGGCCAGTTTTGCAAACTTTCCCCTAAGTGACCATATCCCTTTAAGGCCCCTTCACCTTTTGGACACCGCACAATCCCAGCCACAGAAAGCCAACACCAGTAGGCACCGTCTTTCTCACCCCACGTCTCCCCCTCTGCCAGTGCGCTGACCCCGTTCACACAGACGCCACTTGCAGGGTGAGAATGCAACAGAAATGACAGAGGCTCCACATTTCCCCTGGGGCTGCTGGCAGGTCGACAGCAGGGACAAACCCAATCCTCGCCCCATAAAGGTCCATTTCAGTAGGGCCATGAGCTTTGGGCGCTGGCCCCTTGGTGTCCTCCAGACCCAGGACAAGCTTAATGCTTAATACAGCCCCTTCCCTCCCTCTTTGTCCCGTCTTCATTCATTCCATCCCCTAAATTCAACCCACTTCCCTCAATCCCCCTCCCGCTTTCAACAGCTCCCTCCCCATGTCTCCATTCCCCCTCTCTGCTACTGATTCCCCATCTCATCCTCTCCTGATACCCCTATTCCTCCTACCCTTCCCCCACACCCATTCACCCCATTGGGTCTCTCCCACTCTCATCCCATCAGCCTCTCCCACCTCCTCACTGGATCCATCCTTCCAGCTCTTTGCCTCCCTGTCTCTCTCACTCCACACCCCTCAGTCTCTTTCTCTGCCTCTCACCTCTGACTTCTCTCTCTCTCACACGCACACACACTCTTCCCCGACCCGCCATTCACCACCCCACACCTGTGCCCCTCTTCCACTTACTGATCTCCAGAGCACAGAACGAGCTATTCCCCTCTACTAGGTTTATGGGGTGGGGAAAGCCACTGGGACTTTCACGGTTTTCCCAGTCCTGGGCTCCCCCCGTACAGCTCTGATGATGCCCCTCAATCCTGATCCACAGCCCTCCGGCTATTCTCGTCACGAGCTCTGCCCCCGCCCCAGCTCCTACTCATGCCCTTTCACCCTGGCCTGCAGCCCCGAGCCTGAGCCTCTCCCAACCGGAGATTTTCTGACACACACGGTGGTTCAGAGATGTGGCTAGAGAAGGAGGAGATCACGATCCACCTGTGATCTGGGCAAGGCTTGAACCTGGCTCTCCAGGGGGAAAAAGCTGTTGTATGAACATGCTCTTGTGCCCCTGCGTATTGGAACGGGCAGAATCGAACCAGGATCTCATTACTCTGCAAAGGATCGCTATAAAAGGAGGGGGATCAGAGGAGGGGGAGGAAGACAACCATTCTGCACGAGAAGATACGACGAAAGGCTCGGCCTTGCCAAGGCTGCTACTTACAGAATTTGTACCCAGGATCTGCAGGTTGGGCTTCTCTGACTCCAGCAGCTTCGCCACCATCTTCAGGAAGCTCTCCACGAACAGGTTGATGCTCTGGCAGTGACAGGCCATTAGCAGCTGGTCCAAGGCTTCCATGGCAATGCACACGTACCTGAGGGAAACGGCATATTGCAAAAGTAACTCACCTTGTAGGAAAGGAGGCCCAGTGACTAGGAGCAGGAGGACTGGGTCTCAGGAACCCTTGGGTCAACTGCCAGCTCTGCTGCTGACTCACTGTGCAATCCTGAGCCAGTCACTTCACCCCTCCATGCCTCAGTTTCTCCATCCGTAAAGCAGGCTTACTGCACAACACACCGTGAAGGAATCAGATCCTCAGTTTAATTCATTAATGTTTAGTATCAGAGGGGTCGCCGTGTTAGTGTGGATCTGTAAAAGCGCCAAAGAGTCCTGTGGCACCTTACAGACTAACAGACGTATTGGAGGAAAACGAAGTGGGGATTCACCCACGAAAGCTTACGCTCCAATATGTCTCTTAGTCTATAAGGTGCCACGGGACTCTTTGTCGTCATTAATGTTTGCGTATGAAGATCTCTGGAGGCTACAACAGCACAGGGCCCAATCCTCAGCTGTCAATGGAGCCCTGCTGATTTACGCCAGCTGAGGATCTGGCCCAGGCAGTAATATAGCATTATGGGCAATTTGTATTAAACCCCACGTTTGCTTCTGAAAGGGTTAATCTGCTCCCAGCGCCCATTACTCTGCAAAAGGCTGCTGGGGAAATAACTGGAATGGTGCAAACTGAGGGTTAAGAGGACTTGTGGTGGGGAATAAGCTGCAGGAAGAGCTACTCGGAAAAGCAATACGATGATTCTCTTTACACGTTCATTTCTCTAGGAATAACAGCCCCACAAGGCCCAGAGAGCTCCAGGAGGCAGCAACAGAACCAGGCTCTGAGTAGTGTTTTCCAAAGCTACTCAACCGATTCCGGATTCGGTCTTCCTGCTTGGTTGTCTTCTTACAGCTGAGTCCATGGGGACACAGGCTCTTTGGTCTTTTACAATATCCTGAGCCCCGCAACAGGAGGCAGGGCAGAAGGAGCATAACCCGATAGCAAAATAGAGCACTTCGGGGGAAGTCAGACATCCCACCACCCACAGTGATGCCTCAGAGCCCTGCCTCAGCTGAACATCTGCGAGCACCGGCGGCTGGACTCGGATCTCTTTGCTGGAGGCGAAAAGACCCTTTGCCTCCTCCCGATGAAGAACAGCAGGAAACAATCACCTGGTACTAGTCATGCTACAAATGACTCGCCCCATGTCTTCTCCATCTTCAACTGCACAGTCTTTAGGGCAGGGAATCTAGCAGACAAAGGTCTAATGTGATCCAAAGGCTGGAAGTTGCAGCTAAACAAATTCAGACTGGAAATAAGGCGTGGGGTTTTTTTAAAAACAGGGAGGGTAATTAACCATTAGAACAGCTTACCAAGGGTTGCAGAGATTCACTATCACTTGGCGATTCTTAAATCAAGACTGGATTTTTTTTAATCTATTTATTTATTTTATTTTAAGATATGCTCTAGTTCGAAAGGAATTATTGTGGGGAAGATCTCTGCCCCGTGTTATAGACAAGAGGTCAGACTCCGGGATCACAAAGGTCTCTCCTGGCCTTTAATCTATGAACCTAGTCAGTGCATTGTATGCGCAGAGACTCAACTAAATCAGATCTGTAATGCTGCCCTTGCACCCCACGTGTAGCCAGAAAACTCTCCAGGCAGCCCTGATTTTCCAGAAAATACCTGGGTAAAAGTGTCCCTGGTGCTGCCGGTCACCACCCCCAGCTCTGATGGATCATAAGAGAGGGTGAATTCCACATCAGGCATCTTACACCGACAGCATCCCCTCAAAGGTCAGGCCCCCGCCATTCGCTGATGTCAATGAGCGTGGTAGGTGCGTCTCAGCTCCAAGGACGAACACCGGAGGGAGAAGCAGAAGGGCACCTCACCGGACTGTTTGCAGTGAGTTGTCACTGCAGGTCTTTTCAGGTCACTTATTAAATCTCTTTTCTAATGCTCCTATATTTGAACAGGAGAAAAGAGACGGAAGGAGAGACTGCGAACATCAGGGAATAAGTCTTTATTGGACACACACCACCGTGCAGGCTGCCTGATTAGGTTCCAGTTTCAGAATTTGTTCTGTGTCACATTTGGTTTCCAAGACAAATTGAATCTGGTTGTTTTGATGCGGCTCTGGAGGTGTCTGTGCATGCAGGCTGCAGATGGCTCTGGATTACTTCTCTGGTTGGCTAGTTATATGACAAAGAGACAGGCCAAGCAGCCTTTGGACCCTGCAGTCGTGGAAGGAGTGAGCTGCCCCAGAAATGTATTTATTGCCCTTCCCCAAATTAAAGTGCACTCGCAACAGAGAATCAGGTCCTCAGCTAGTATAAATCAGCGTAACTCCATTGAAGTCAATGGATCTGTCCCAATACCCTCAGTGGCTATTTCACAGACAGACTCAAGTCTTACAGATGGACCTGGGATTGGCAAACAAAACTGGGCTTTCCAGACAGCTGTTGGACTTCTGAGTTACCCCAGTGAAACCAACTAAAATCCCATGACCTGATCAAAAGAGTCAGCCAGCCCACTGAAAAGGTTTATGTACGGGGAAGGCACGTGTGGGAAAGGCAGATCTAGTTCCAGACCTCTGGCAGCAGACAGTCTAGTGGTGAGGGTGCAAGCCCCAGAGCCAAGAGTTTGTAATTTCCAACCGTGCCTCAGACACTAGCCCCCATGTGTCGCCTGGGGCAAGTCCCATCCCCTCGCTGTCTTAGTTTCCCTCACCCTCTGGGGCTGTTGGGAGGATGAGTTGGCTAATGTCAGCAACATGCTTTGCAGTAAGTGAGAGGCATTATTACAGCCTCCGTGAGCGTCCCCGTTCCATCTCTCAGACGCTGGTATCAGGGCTCTTGCTTTTCGCATATGTGACCCAGCCCGGCAGGATGTTTTTTTGAACACGGCCTGCCCCCCCGGAGCACGTAATGAGAATTATTTGGCTCTTTGCAGGACAGGGTCCTGCTCCTCTGGCTTCAGCTAACAGATGTTTGGCATCAGGTGCTGCATCACAGATTTGATTAAAATCATAACACACTGAAAATACTCTGTCTCCCAGAGTCAAGTCAGCACCCTCCCAAGCTGTTTGCGCTTGGCAATGATCAGTGCAACCTCCAAGCTGGACTCTGCGGGCCCCAATCTCTATCAATGGTCCTTATATGGCTCCTATCACTGTAGTATCCTCATAACCCCCGTATGAGGCAGGGAAGGGTGTTATCCCCATTGTACGGATGGAGAAGCTGAGACACAGAGCAACTAAATGACTTGCCCAAGGTCATACAAAGAGTCTTTGGCAACACAGGGACTTGAACCCAGGTCTCCAAAGCCCTAGGCTACAGCCCTAATCACTGGACCACTGTTCCTCTTCTCTAGCAGCATGACAGGAGCCCTTCCCCTAAGCTTGAACAGGAGTTACTCATACCTAGGAAAGGAGAATAGGGTCGCAGGGACTTGCAGACAGTGCTGCCCATGCACTTAGTGTGGCTGTGAGCAGCCTAATGGCCTGGCCCGCAGAGCGTTAACGCCTTAGATCTCCCTCAGGCATACAGGGCAGAGTGAGTGCTGTCCTCGGCCCATAAGGGCCCAGCCAGCTCAGAAGGAATACAGGCAATCCCGGAGCAACAGCTCCTTCAGAGGGTGATGAAGCCTCCAGGGAAGGTGAACTCCCCCAGCTATTGGTGGACCGAGACAGGTGTGGGTTTGTTGATGGGTTCACCCCACTAGCTCACTGCTTCCTCCCCGGCAGCCTGGGCCTCACCTCTGATGCCAGCAGAGGCGGCGGGCTCCGGTGGGCCACGTTCCATTCGGACCAGCAGCCCCCTGGGCCACCTCCCCATGTAAAAGATGAGGCCTGCCCCATTTAAACAAGAACCCAGCAGGCTCCTCACAAGTGCAGTGGCCTCTATTCCCGGCTCTGCCCCTGTCAGGATGTGATCTCGGGCCAGATCATCAGCTGCTGTATGTCAGTGCGGCTCTGAACGGCGCTACGCTGATTTACGCCAGCTGGGCGTCTGGCCCAGTATCCCAAATGACTTTACAAATATTAGTTCACTCAGCCTCCTGAGTTATGGAAAGCACGTGGCAGATCCAAGAAGAGCTCCTGGAGCACCTGGCTCTTGTCCTGGAGCATTAACCACAAGATCCCGACTGAGCAGGGGGGATGCCCGCAGTGCACCCCTTCCCCCAAGCTGTGAGGTGTTGGGGAAAGGAAACTGGGCTGGGAGGAGCCAGCCGAGAAGGAAGCCGGGGAGCAGCTGCAGAAGCAGCAGAGATGGAGCTCCACGGACACGATGAGATTTACTACAGTTTTGACTGGGGCTGATCAGCTGTTTGCTCCCACCACCTCCTTCACAGTCTCTTCACCGCCGCATCACTCCACACCTGCCCCTTCCTACCTTCCCTCACCCCCTTCCCTAATCCCCTCCTAACTCCAACCACCCACCTCCCAAAAAACTCATGGTACCATCACGTTGATTACGCCATTCATCTATCATACCCCTTTCCCCTATACATTCAGATCAGCGGCACTGCTATGGGTACCCGCATGGCCCCACAGTATGCCAACATTTTTATGGCTGATTTAGAACAATGCTTCCTCAGCTCTCGTCCCCTAAAGCCCCTACTCTACTTGCACTATATTGATGACATCTTCATCATCTGGACCCATGGAAAAGAAGCCCTTGAGGAATTCCACCATGATTTCAACAATTTCCATCCCACCACCAACCTCAGCCTGGTCCAGTCCACACAAGAGATCCACTTCCTGGACACTACAGTGCTAATAAACAATGGCCACATAAACACCACCCTATACTGGAAACCTACTGACCGCTATTCCTACCTGCATGCCTCCAGCTTTCACCCTGACCACACCACACGATCCATCGTCTACAGCCAAGCTCTGCGATACAACCGCATTTGCTCCAACCCCTCAGACAGAGACAAACACCTACAAGATCTCTGTCAAGCTTTCTTACAACGACAATACCCACCTGCAGAAGTAAAGAAACAGATTGATAGAGCCAGAAGAGTTCCCAGAAGTT